AATACTTCATATTTTTTAATTGTTTCTACTACTTGGGTTTTTTCTAACTTGCACAGAAAATGCAGTGGCACGTGAAAGTTATTAAACATTGCAAAAACAACTATAAACGTCATATGTTTTCCATTGGCTAACACAGCAAGGATCAGTTAAATTCTGTTGGATATTAACATCTGATTAGGTTAGAATACAGCAATTTTTTCAAAGCACAGATGGTTTGTATCAATGCTTCCTACACTGACAGATTTCTTTATGGAGATTTAAATGCCAAATCACAATTTGTATTGGGAGATTTACCCTTTCATTTTTTTAACCTAAATTCATTTTCAGTCTTTATTTAAATTATCACATTCCTTTTAATTTCCGATCCCAATCAGAATATTTAAAAAAAACAACAACATTTCTTTTGACAAATTAATGGAAATTTATATAAAAAGTATTTCTTCTAGTTTACAAAATGCTTTCACAGAGTTGGTTGAGTCCTGAAGAAATGAGCTGTTTTACACGACAAACTTGAATCTTCTTTATCTCTGCAGTAATTGATATTGTTCTATTAATACATATATAATAAAATAATATACATCAGCCTTGTACAAACATACATTTGTATGGAGTTTTGTTTTTACCTCTCTAGATTCAGTTTAATAGTTCGTCTTTTTCATTTCTTATGGTCAATGAATTAATACATTTTTTTTTAACTGTGGTCAAAAACTGTAGAAATATAAACTATTGAAGAGAAAAATAATACAAAATAGAAGATAAAATAGAAAAAAAAATACACATGACCATCTTCTTGTTAAGTTGACATTTTAAGTTTATGTTTTATGTTGCTCTAAACCAAAAATTAATCTGTTTATCTTATTCTAAATATTGTATGTATTCCATGTATGTACTTTAAAATATCACTCTGGTAATTCTATATTAAATAACTTAGCAAATCTTTATAAGAATCTTGTCGATTAAGCACCTTACAAAACATCGTTAACTCTAGAGTTTCTATATCTTACCAAAAAACATTAGGCTTTACATAATACAGTCATAACATATCAATAAACTAAACAAATTGTTAACTTTCCAATTGGACAAAAATATCAGCTAAAACCACCTTACATTGTGCTTCAAAAATCAGTTGGGTAAACTGTAGTTAACGACATGGAACCAGATCTTGCCCAACAATTCATTGTTGTTGTTCTTGCTCTAAACCCTAACAAACAGTACATAAGACATAGGATATAAAACAGTACTCTGAAATTTGTTAGGAAGAAGCAGGAAGTGCAACTTAAACATATATCACTGTACCTACAAACCTACATGACTACACAAAAGAAACTGCAGAACACCAAGTACTCCATATTCAACCTTCAGAGGGGAAGGTTACAGGATTACCAATAAATATCTCAGATGAAGGAGTTTTTATAACTGTGTGTTGGCCACAACTTCTTTGATAATATTCTGCATTACATCTGTTGTAGTTGCTTGCCCTCCCAAGTCTGGAGTGTGGATCTGTTGCAAGAGAGAAAAATAGTCCGTGCACACTTATTTTACTTTCATCAAGAAAAAAACTTTACTTTCCAAGAACAGTACTTTTCAAATCTAACAGTTCTTTTGACACACGTAGTTTAATTGAAAAACAAAAATACTATATAGTGAAGATATCTAACACTGTTATAACAATATGGAACTTTCTTGTTCATAACCTAATTATACAATGTTTAAAAGATTATGAAAATGAGCACGCAGTTTTAATAGTTTCAGTAACAAAGCTTACAATACAAACATTTAACCAGTAAAGATCAATCACTGTCAAGAATCTTCTAGGAAAGACAGTTATTATTAATATGCATTTTACCATCATCTACAATAACTTATACATAACTACTTTAACAAAGGATGTTCCAAAAGGTGATTTGTTTCACGTGTTTTTTTACTTTTTCTTAGTACTGCACCTAACTTTTGGTCTTAAGATATTATTTTTGGGCCTAGATTAGATGGAATACGATCACTTTTATGATACATCAAGTGCCAAAATTATTTGACCTTAACTATCTAACATTAAAATTACCCAAGATTAAAGAAAAACAACAAATGCTTAACAGTTTTTCCAACACAAAAAATTAAATAGTATCTGGATAATTATAAAACTTCCTGCCTGATATAATTGACATCACATGAACATGTGCTTATGAAACACCAAAATTCACATAGATTTCATGGTGAAAATCAGAGAAGGGCTCAAAACACTTCAAATTTTTTTACCATGCAACATTCATATTCAATTTCAATAAAATACATAAACAGCACTTAAACATACCAACAAAGATCTGTACATGTCAGCTACATGAAGTATTTAAAGAAACTTCCATATTTACCTGATCAACATTCAGTGTCTTGTCAACAGCTGCACTAATAACCTTAGAATGTGTAGTCAGCCTGTCACATAAAATGTAAAATTTTTCATCAGTTTGGTTAAACTCAATATTATAATTAGTTATCATTCCAAGGCCACAAAAAAAATAAACAAATCATACTATTAATCATACAAATAAATAGTATTATTTAATTGTTTTTATTGATCAAAACTTTTAGTTTACAGTAAAGATCTCAATTGTCCTGATGTACGTGTTGCAGTATAATATTCTGGGTAACAATGAGTTTCAGTAACACACCTCTCATCATATATCCTGGGTTTGACTGAAATAAAGAATATTGATCTGTCTTTATTAAACTGGCAGACTTAATTCATAATGGTGTTTGTATCTTTCTTTCACGTGTTTCTGTAATTTGATGATTAAAAAAAAAGGCACCAAGAAAATTTTGTTCAAAATGTTTGGGAATTATATGGCAGTAGTTATGAAATATAGCAGGGCCTCTGAGATTAAAAAAAAAAGTTTGTAATGAAAACCAAAATCATGTGCATACATATCTATATATCCTAATCATGAACAATGAAGCTTGCACATCAAGAAAATACTCAAATACTCGAAACTTCACATGGCTTTACTATTTTTTGAGAAAATGAACTCATTCCAAAAGGCTTAAAAGATAGTTTGTTATCTGAAACCATGGCTTACCCCAAGTGCTTCAACAGATCCACTCCAGCATTCAACATTGCAATAGGATTGGCTATATTTTTGCCTGCTATCGATTTTCCAGTGTTTCTCGTTCCCTAAGTACAGCATACAAACAGCATAAGTTATGATTAAGCCTCGTAAACAGACAGCAATTTCCTTTGTTAAAAACAATATAAAGTACAGATAGCATAACTTTTACTACATGCCATATAAATAAGTAACAAAAACCATTTGTAAAAAAAATGTAATTACCAAACACCTACCAACTGAATTTTCTACAAAATAAATACTTTTCTTTTCTTAATTTCTGATGTACTGGTCCATGATTTAGTTATTAGCTTTAATGAAAGGTCTATCAAGTTTCAAATTCATTAATCAAAACAAACCCCCATATTCAGCTTGTACAATTTTATCAATTGAAAAGTGAAACGCAAAATGTAAATCTGTACATTTTTCTCCAACAAAATTGTTTAGTTATGTATACTTACATCTAATTCCTGAGAGCATTTAATGTAAAAATGAACCACATATTTTAATAAGCTTTACAATGCTAGCTAAAAAAATTTTGACTTCTATATTAATGATAATACGAGCAGTTTTTAACCAAGATTACAGAAGTTTTGTTTATGTTTGTTGAATTTTGCTACTCAAGGGCTATCTGTACTAGCCATCCCTAATTTTGAAGTGACAGACTGGAGGAAATGCAGCTAGTCAACACCACCCATCACAAACCCTTAAACTGATGAGAAATGGGACCGACTTCACATTATAAAACCTCGTGGATGAAAAGGTGAGCATATTTGATGATGGGATTTGAACCCTTGACCTGCAGAATGCGAGTATAATGTCTTAACCACCGTGCGTGCTAGACCATCACAGAAGTTAATTTATTCAGAAAGTTCTGTATTATTATAGACATCTTTCTATATGAATGTATCTGCATTTATAACTGAGGTAAATGGAATACTTACTTTCGCAAAAACCACAAATAAAAAGTTTAGGTTGATCAGCCACAACTACAATGAATGCTAAACTGTCAGAATATATACTTATTGAAAACCTGAGTAAAAATTACAGGGCTTATTTTTTTTAGAGTTACATGTAATACATTTTGTTTAAAAAATCTCTTATCTCAGAAATCTATAAAACAAAATGTTGGAATTTAAAAATATTTCCTGTAAGTTCATTAAAGTCTGAACATTCAGAGTAACTGCTAGTCTAAATCCTTTAGACAGAATACTACTACATCAAAATCAAGAAATGTGGAAGTGCATGATGACTCATATTTCTTTGTTAGAAAGTTTGGAGAAAAATATAGTATGTAATTTCAAAATTAAAACAAAACAATGTAGAATAGCAATACTTGAAGATATCATTTAATCAAAACGCATGTGCTCTATTTTACTGTATATTATTATAAAATACAATTCAATGAATTATTAAGTGAATATGAAAAAGAAAGAAAAAAAAAGACATTAGAGCTCATAGATACAAAAATACAATCCTGTTATTTTAATATTTATGTAATGATATCGTGATGAAATTGCAAACTAATACTTTAGATTATTACTATATTACACTACAATGATTGAAATTGAAATGTTTACATGTGTGTACAGGTAGGTAGTATAGTACTTACTGTTTCAAATAAAGCATACTCGTTGCCATAATTTCTACCTGATGTTAGACCAGGTCCACCCACCAGTCCACAAGCAATGTTATTCAGTATATTGCCATACAGGTTGGGCAGTAAAAGCACATCAAACTGATGAGGGTTGGCCACTAACTGCATAAGGTAAAATAACACAACATAATCACTAAACCCTCTATACACTTATGAGCTTGTTTTTAGAAATATGGTCATTACATCAAAAAGATAGTGAATGAAATTTTAGGGGGTCTAAAATATGGATAAGCTATCTTAACAGCTCAAATGTCAGACTTTTTAGGCTTTGCGAAATAAGTAACAAAAAGATTTAGGCCCCAATGTTCTGTTTGGTTCAGTCTATAAATGCAAAATATCAAGCAATTATGAGGCTAGTATCTTTCAGCATTAACAGAAAAATACAGAGCAAGAACAAAAAAAAAGGGGGGGGATGAATTGAACTACTCTTTGGATATTTTTTGCTAATAAATATCCAGTTTTAAACTAGTTAAAACAAGAAGTTCATTGTAGTTTCATTTCAGTGAAGAAACTAAAGATAGCACATCATAATAATATATTTCAACATATACTTTTATGGGTTATTATGAAATTTGGACATGAAAAATAAATATGTAAGATCAATTTGGTAAACTCACTTATATCACTTAAGTTTTCTACTTTGAAACAATGTTGGAAAAATTAAATCAGCTTTGAAAATCCTTCCTATTAATATTAAAGTGTTAATGCTTTTAGTGTTTAATATTCTTCTTTCTTTTGAGGTTAAAAATTACTTACTTTTTGCTTACCAATCAAACTATTTGAGTATGTTTAATGCATTAATTCATATACATAACCAAGCCTGAAAATAGAAATAAAATAAACTGACTAGTTTCAGTTTGACCAGTTTTCATTTTATTTTACTAGACTGTAATTTTTAAGACTATAAACAATGTTTGTTAGGTATTTTCGTATGGTACTATACAGGGTGCTAATTAGACTCACTTTCTAGTTGTATTGTACTATCATTGCAATTATTTGGTAGAAAGGAAGGTTACTGGCACACTCACAACTGGCCATGGACAATGAATGGTAGTAGGACTCAGGACAAGAGGGTTTACTTTAAGTAGTTGTAAGTCTATAGGTTCTTTATCTGCATTTGATAGTTGCTTATAAAACAGTATATACCCCTAATATTTTTAGAAGCTATTACTATAGATTTTTTCATTATCATGTCAGCTACTTACATTGGTTTAGCAGCTCTGTGTTCCACATGTGGTATCATTTGTGTATGTATGTATGTAAATATCAGTTATTTCCCACCATTTAAAGTAAATATAAAAAAATCTTTACTTGTGGAATTTGAGTATTTGGAGAAATAAAAGTCCTATTTAACCATCATCTGCACAAAGAGAGTTCTTTTTAGATCCCCTACTTATAATATCAGTGATAATTAACATTTGTTTTTCTTTTTTGAAGTATTGGGTTTTTGTGACTTTATTTGTTAGACGCAGGCCCCATCGTGAGTGCATCAAAAAGACCTCGATTAATGACAGTCAAAGAGGCAGTGAAGGCAATACTAGAAGGCCTAAAATCAGACAGTGATAAGTCTGATAGTAATATCAGTGACTCAGAGGAAGTTCAAAATAATGAATATATGCTTATAGAAGAAATGAACTCTCAAAGTGATGATAATCTTGGGGACAATCCAAAGGATTTTGATGATGAAACTGCAGGAAATGAGTTTGAGGACAACTAAAGTAGTGATGAAGAGGAAGTTACCATCCAGGATAATAGTAATTGTACTTTGCAAAACACCTACAAGTCTGTGTCTGGTTACATCTGGCAAGCAAAGTCCAGATAAACAGGTCATGCTAGAACTCATAACGTGTTGAGGTAGACAATGAGACTGAAAAAAGATGGAAAGGTACAAAACAAACAGGACACATTAAATATATTTCTGACTATTGAGATGAAACAAATGATTGTAAGATTTACAAATCAGAAAGCACAATGCATATGAAAAATGGAACTGTGAGCATAATAATAACAAAAAAAAGGAAAGATGTAGATGAAATAGAACTCGAGGTATTGATATGGTTGCTTATATATGCAGGGGTGTTGCATTCAGCAAACAAAGGTGTTAGACAGCTGTGGAAGATGAAGGATTCTGGTTGACCAATATTCAGTGCTGCAGTGGGATTGGGGTGCTTTCAAAATATCTTGAGGTTTCTATACTTTGATGATTTTCAAACCAGGTCTGATTGCAGGAATACCAACAAATTGGCACCATTTAGAGATAAGCTTACTCATTTTCAGAGTACATTACAGAGGCCATACAAGCCTGGAGCAAACCTGACAGTTGATGAACAATTAGTGTCATTTCACAGTTTTGTCCTTTCAGGCAGTACATGCCATCAGAACCTGGAAAGTATGGAATCAAATGGTGACTTTGCTGCAAGTCAGACAATGGTTATGTTTGTAGTTTAGACATTTATCTTGGCAAACAAGAGGGTCAGCATGAAACAAAGAATGTTGGTGAAAAGATGATAACACAAACAGTCTTATCGTGGTTCTGGATGGAATGTTACTATGGACAATTATTTTTTATGAGTGTACCCCTTACAAATGAAATGCTCCAACATAATCTGACCATTGTTGGCATCATCAAGAAAAACAAGTTAGAGATTTCTATGAGTTTTCAATCATCAAAATAGAGACCAACTGAGTCATCAGTTTTTGAATTTGATAATAATCTAACTCTGGTCTCCCGTGTTCTCAAAAAGAACAAAGCTGTTGTTTTCCTTTCATTTGTACATCACACTGTAAGCAAAAGTAATCTTAGTGCAAAGTTAAGTAAAAACAATCATAAAGGACAATGATATAAGGATGTAATGTATTGTTAGTTTGAAAGAGGGAATTTTATAGTTTTATTTATTTTAAAGGGTAATTTATGCCTGAATTAGTCATGAAGACATTTCTTAAGCTGATGTTGAATTTCTGTTGATGATTCATACATAATAACACAAAGTCATTCAGGTCCCCCTCTGTACAGATTGAGTTGTATTTACCCTTGTGCAGTTGAAGGTTAACAAAATACTTTCCTTCATTCTGCAGTGGTTAAGAGTTGAATAGAATTAACCCTCTCAGCATGGCTGGATAATTTTACAGAGTTACATTTCAAATCTAATTAAATTACTTTATTTTCAATGTACAGCAATAAACTTGGCATTAAAACATAGTTTATAGTTCAAAATTATAATTTTCCTATACTGAAAATGTATTTCTGATAGGTACTTGTCTCTTCTCACAAGATTAGCTATTCCTTTTAAGTGCTGCTCTCTATATGTGAACTTTTTCTTTACATATGCCACAAGCCTTTCGCTCCTCCTTATTGGAATCAAATGATTCTAACATGTCTCATGCAAATCATTCTGCGTCACCTCTTCACCAATAGGAGCATGACATGCTCAAGTGACGCATGT